TTCTCATATTTAATACTCTTTTTATTTAATTTAAAATTCAAAACATATATTGAAACAATATACTACAATAATATTACATTACATTATCAATATAATTTGTTAAATATATTGTATTTATATTATATAACACTTAACTTTTAATTTCTATTTAAAGCACTACTCCTTAGACAGACGTGTAAACTAAGAGAAAGTCTTTTAGTTCAAAGATTATATATTTTATATCAATAACAAGATCGTATAAATTCAGTTTCGCTCTGATTTACATAAAATTATTTCAACAATTTTATTATTAAAGTCATGTGAGGACTGATAAACCAAGCGATAGACTGTGGGTTAAGAACTAATCCGCGGATTACCGGATGGGATGCATACCATTCCCTGCCTATCATAAGGTTTTCAATTGGAAATGTATTTATTTTTCTTTTTTATGTCGATGTCTGGCATATCATATCATAACTTTATTTTTTGTCATTTAATCATTTATTAATAAATCAATATTTTCTGCAAATAATATTGTGTTGTATTCACTATTTAATAGCTTTTATTACTGTAAAAACAATTCACGCGAGTATTATAGCGACAAAACATGAGATTCTGTGTCAAAAACTTCAGTTTTAAGTACTCGAGCGATGAATTCAACGAAATGTTTGACCAAAAGTATAAAAACACTTTGAATTCAATTGACGTGGAAATGGACGTGAGTTGCGACGAGACCTCAATCAACACATTAATGAGTGATTTGTCGCAAATTCAGTCATTAATTCATTTAAACATTAACTACCAGTACATGGATGTCTCGAAAACACCATTAATAGCCACTCAATTGCGACAAATTGGTCTGAAATACCATAACCTCCGGAGTTTGTCACTGAATCTGCGAATACAGTCGGCGCCCATAATGACTGAAATCTTGCAAACAATTAACGAAAACTTCAAACTACTAAGACGTCTGGAAATGAGCGGTTATTTTCCCTCAGACTTTGTATTGGCCACCGAAGCGCTCAATGACTGCAAACTATTAACACATTTAACTATAAGTGCTTACAATCATGTGATCAATCAATTATTCATACTTTATATCAACAAACTCTTCCCAAGACTGCAATATCTGTGGCTATCGGACGTCAATATCGCGGATGTTATACTGAATTCGTTGTCAAAGCTAACAAAAATACAAACCATTGGTCTCTACGGGAGCGAAGAGTTTTCGCAAACAGCTGTCGACAAACTCATCATAAAGTGTCCCAAACTTTGTTTGAGACTCAATTCAAACAGTTATTAATCAAATCATATTTCTGTGACATTGTATTACTTTTACATTGTTTTTGTCATTGAAATTCAAGATGATTTTCAAAATACTTTCATTTATTTTCATATCAAAACACTTGTTTTATTATGTTATCTATTCATTGATTTCTTAATAAATATTGAAGTTTTTATTTTAAGACAAACAGTTTTATTTGAAAGTTTTATTTGAATTTGAAAACTACATATGAATTAAATTCAATCATTTATATAAAAAAATTTCTAACACATGGGAGTTCACTGTATTCTTATCACACAATTTGTCATAAAATCAGTTAAATTATATGTTTGTACAGTAGTTACATACTGTACCTACTTACTTCACATTATACAGGTATTATAGTTAGTACTAAATTCTTTAATTTTATATTTAAATATTTAATTAATTACATTTAAAATGTTTTATATGCTTTACAATTCTAGTTCCTATTGAATATTACTGTACTCTATTTTAAACATAAGTAAATACTCTGTTTTATTAAGAGGCTTAAGTGTACATTTGCTCATATGATGTTTGATTACAATATTTAATGATAATTTCGATAAAAGTTTTATATATTCTGTTATTATAATCAAAGTTCAAGTCTACATGTATTGATTGCACAGCATTTTATTATACCGTAGGTGTATATTATCAACAGGCATTTCAAATGGCGGGATGGGTGGTAATGGGTGTTTATTAATTTTTAAATTAATTATACACTGTTCAATTAACTGTTATCTTGAAGTCCAATTTTAGAAATAATTTAAATTATAAATCTATAAAAAAAACTAGACAATTAAATAATGGATAATTGAAATTAAATATAAACATAATAATATGAATTCAATTACAAGTATTTATTGCATACATTATATACAACCTTGTTATGTAAAGCATGATATAACTTATCAAACAAACCACACAATAGGGTTGATTTGTTGAAAAGTATCTCTCATTCACTGGCAGTTTATATATTTATGTAGTAATTATTATTAAAATTAAAAATATACACCAATTTTAAGTGAATGAGTAGTAACTTAAACCAAAAGTATTTATTTATTTATATTTACATTTTCGTTTTTAACCTTGTAGAATTTTTGTTAAGTTTGTATTAGAAAATATAAATTATTTATTGTTTGTGCTATCATATTAATAATGAAAACATTAATTTCATTTGTTTTTGGTTTGTCAGGCGCATAATTTTAATTATTTAAATTAAATTATTAATAGTATTCAGTGATAATAACCGATGGATTCTGGTGCATATCAGCGACACCCATAACATACCAGTGCTCTCCTGCATATCATTTCCATTATTCAGTGGATATAAAACTTAAATATTTGAATTCAAATGCAAATACTATTCATTTATTAATATAATTAGTTTTTAACTTTTCATAACTATTTATTTTCAAGTAATATTCATATTTTATTTTAAAAACTGACAATAATTTTATGAGTTTACAATTTTTAATTTGTGAATAAAATATTTTTAAAAATATACTTAAATAATGGCTAATTGGCTGAAAGTATTGATACGTAAGAAACCTATTGAACGGTCGGCTATTACCACGACAAGACTAGAGAGATGTCTGTCCACTCTGGATCTAACTATGCTGGGCATTGGCTCCACATTAGGTCTGGGTGTTTACATACTGGCCGGTCAGGTGGCCAGTACTAAAGCAGGTGATACAATTTAATTGAATAGTCTACAATTAATATTTCATGTGAATATTTGATGATTTGACAATTACTACATATCATGCAAATAGCTGTAATGACTAATCATTATCATTGCTAATGTCTACTCCCTGTGCCAAACAGGACCGGCCGTTACACTGAGTTTCTTCATCGCAGCCGTGGCGTCGGTTTTTGCGGGACTTTGTTATGCCGGTTAGCATTTGACATACATTTCCCTTTATTCATATCAGTTTATATAAGTGTTACATAGGTTTTATGTGTCTATTTGTTTAATATATGTTGATTAGTTATATAGAATTCAGATAGTATGAAATTTTATATAATAAAACATTATAACGGTGTAATATTTATATTTACAACTAAAGATTGATAATATGTACATAATAGACTGAATTATTCTTTGCAAATGTTGTCATATTTTTTATTACTAATTATTTGATAAGGGAAACAAACCACCCTTTCCTTTAATATAAGATTCAAGTATTGATAGCATGTGTTCATTCATATAATCAATGTAATAAAAAGTTTATTATAGGTGTAATAAATTAATTATAAATTAATAATAAATTATTAATATTCAGTTTTTAGAATATTAATTATTATAGTTGAATATCACAGTATAATGTTGCTAAACTGTTTGATATTAAAAATTTTAAATGGGAGTGTAATATCAATATCTAATATCTAATCGGATTATTAATAACATAAAAATTATTTACTTTTAATACATAAAGAATTCTAGTACAGGACAATTACAAGATTACAAAATATAATTATTATATAAGCGATGTTAATTTTATTAGAATATACAACTAAAAATCAAAACTATTTAAAAATTACATAAAAAATTTAAATATGAATTTATCATGCAGAATTTGGGGCTCGAGTTCCAAAATCAGGTAAAATATTTCAATAAACATGATTAGTTACCTGCACTTAAATTGAACTTAAAAACTAATTATTTTGATGGCATAGGCTCTGCTTATGTGTATTCATACATAACTGTCGGCGAATTCATGGCATTCATAATCGGATGGTATGAATGCTGTTAAATAAATGAACGCAAAAATCTCAATCATTATATAACAGGAACTTAATACTGGAGTACGCCATCGGGTCGGCGTCCATCGCCCGGGGCTATAGTGGTTACGTGGACTCACTGGTCAACTACCAGATCCAAGACCACTTTACAAAGTGGGCGCCCCTGAACTTCGGCACATCAAAGTATTTTGACTTTTTTGCCTTTTCTATTGCAATACTAATCGCAGGTCAGAAAACGTGTTATTTAATTTATTTGTATTATCAATTAAAATACACACCAATACTGTATAATTTATAGAGAATTTCTAAAAGAAATTAATTATCTTTTTTTGGTATGACTTCCAACAGGACTACTGGCTATCGGTGTGAAGAAGTCGACGCGACTTAACGCTGTATTCACTGTTATGAATGTTTTAGGAGTCATATATGCCATCATTTGCGGATGTATGTCATACTACGG